TCGAACTTACAATTAGCGCATCAAACAATGTGGACATAACCAACTTCAGGGACAAAATATCGAAAAAAAAATTTTGACTTCAAAGTAGCAATTTCTAAGGTCAAGAATCCTTTCAGGAATTTTTTCATTATTTTTTTCAAACTCAGCGCATCAAAAAACATGTATATACATATTTTGAAGCTTACATAGCAAAAAAAAAAATTTGACCTTGAAATGATGATTTTCAAGGTCAAGGACACATTTGAAACTTTTTTTAATATTTTTCTGTTATTAAGCACATCAATTTCACCTTAAAACTATCAAATAGATTGTGTTCGTTGGGTGGTCAAAATATCGACCAACCCCGTCCTCTAAAGGTTAAAAAGTAATACACTATATACTGTAACTGTATGAAATATAAAAGATTAAAAATTAAGAAATTACAAATTAATTTAATACTACAAGAACTTTTTTCTTTATAAGATTTGTTTTACAAAATTAAATAATACTACAAAATACAAAATGTGTGATATCTCGAAACACTTACCTTTTCAAAAAAAAGGTGAGAACAGGCACCAAGTACAACACGTATTGTATTTAAATAAATAAATAAAAAATTGATTTAATACTACAAACAATTCTTTTTTTTATAAAACTTGTTCTATATGATATTTATATACTATAAAACATTCTTTTTTATTACAAAAGCTTTTTTCTTTAAAATATTTTTACAAAATACAAAAAGTTCTTTCTCTTAAGAAAACCTCGTTTACAAAATATTATGTACTACAAAATATTCTTTCTCTAAAAATCTGTTTTACAAAAGAAGTGATATCAAAAAGTAGCACCAAGTAAACTTTTAAAATCTTGTATGTTTACACATTGTTACAAAAATATATAAAATATATAAAACTTTGTAAGTTGTTTATACTTTGTAAAATAGAAAATATTCTAAATCAATAAAAAGTTTCAAATATTGTATGACCACTGCACTTTTTATATAAAGCAGTCATTGATGTAAGATGTGACTTCGCCTTGCGTGGAAAATTTTAACCCAAGCAGCAAAACTGGGCAAAATTATCTTTATTTGATTTTCTAATAGATCTAAAAGTTTTCGACCAAGCCTTATTTACTACAAATCGACGTCAAATGATGGTAAGTGGGGGAAAAAGTTGAAGTCATTTTATGGTCAAAATGAAGTAATGTAAAACATTTTGTCCTATGGGTCATAATCCAATTTGGTCAACCGGACCAAGTAGAAGATCAAATATTGGTAATATGTTGGTAATTTCGACTTAATTATGACCAATTTTTACATTTTTCTTTTGGTGACGCAGCTTTCTCTTTCGAGACATCTAGGTGGCAGCATATTATTTTATATTATTCCAGACCAGAATCTGTCCTACTCATATATATGATTTGGACTCTGGCCAGTCATAGAAATGTGAAATTAAGTATTATTTTAATTATTGTCCATCGCCACTTTAGTTTTAAAATTAAATATTCCCTGATAGCCAAACATGTTTTGCAAAATCATGTAACTTAATGCT